AATATTTGACAAAGGAGTGAAGAATACTCAATGGAGAAAAGATAGTCTCTTTAGTAAATGGTGCTGGATAATTGAATATTCACATGTAAAAGAATGAAACTGGATCCCTATCTCACACCACTTGCAAAGATTAACTCAAAATGAATAAAAGACTTAAATAGCAGACCTGAAACCATGAAACTCCTAGAAGAAAACGTAGGAATAAAGATCCTTGAGATAGGTCTTGGTAATGATTTTTTGGATATGACACCTAAAGCATAAGCAACAAAATTAAAAATAAACAAGTGGGACTATGTCAAACTAAAGAGCTTCTGCACAGGAAAAGAAACCATCAACAGAGTGAAAAGACAACCTACAGAATGAGAAAAATACTTGCCAACCATATATCTGATAAGGTGTTAATATCCAAAATTATAAAGAACTCATACAACTCAATAGAAAAAAAAAATCCTAAGGGCCCGCCCTGTGGCCGAGTGGTTATGTTTGCATTCTCCGCTTTGGCGGTGCAGGGTTTCGCCGGTTTGGATCCTGGGCATGGACATGGCACCGCTCGTGGGGCCATGCTGAGGTGGCATCCCACATGCCACAACTAGAAGGACCCACAACTAAAAATATACAACTATGTACCAGGGGGCTTGGAGAGAAAAAGGAAAAATAAAAATCTTAAAAAAAAAAAAAAAATTGAAAAATGGGCAAAAGATCTGAATAGATGTTTTTCCAAAGAAGATATATCAAAGGCCCAACAGATACATGAAAAGATGCTCAACATCATTAGTCACTAGGGAAATGCAAATTAAAACCACAATGAGATATCACCTCACATCTGTTAGAATGGCCATCATGAAAAAGACAAGAGATAACAAATGCTGGTGAAGATGTGGAGAAAAGGGAACCCTTGTGTACTGTTGGTGGAATTGTAAATTGTTACAGCCACTATGGAAAAACACTACGGAGGATCCTCAAGAAACTAAAACTAGAACTACCATATGATCCAGCAATTCCATTTCTGGGAATATATCTAAAGGAAATGAAAATAACTCAAAAGATATCTGCACCCCCATCTTCACAGAGTTATTTACAATAGCCAAGACATGGAAACAATCTAAGTGTCCATCAACAGATGAATGGATATAGAAGTTGTGGTATATATAAACGATGGAATATTATTCAGCCATAAAAAATGAGGAAATCCTATCATTTGCAACTACATGGATAGACCTTGAGGGCATTATACTAAGTGAAATATGTCAGACAGAGAAAGACAAATACTGTATGATCTCACTTATATGTGGAATCTAAAAAAAAAACCACACACACACATGCACCAAACTCCTAGAAAAAGAGATCAGACTTGTGGTTACCAGCAGCAGAAGGTCAGGGTAGGGGAGATTGAAGGAAGGTGTTCAAAAGGTACAAACTTCCAGTTATAATATAAGTACTAGGGATGTAATGCACAACATGATGACTATAGTTAACACTGCTGGATGATATATAGGAAAGGTGTTAAGAGCTCTCATTGCATGGAGAAAATTTTTTTTTCCTTTTCTTCTTTCTTTTCATTTTATTTATTTTTTATTTCTTTTATTATTTGTTTTTATTTATTTATTTTCATATGAGATAATGGATGTTAGCTGAGCCTATCGTGGTAACTGTTTCATAATATATGTAAATCAAGGCATCATGCTGTACACCTTAAACTTATACAGTGATGTATGTTAATTATTTCTCAATAAAACTGGGGGGAAAAAGAAGCTCAAGGGGCAGCTTGGAATCACAATATGGTTGGGAACAATGCTTCCTCTGCCAGCCAGCCGACTGTTTGTCAAACTCACACATCCCTGAATTCAGCAAATATTTGAGAATACATTGTGCTAGATGCTGTGGAGGATAAAAAAACAAACCTGAGGCCCAGATATTTAGGCTTTAGCAGGCTTGTATAGTGGGCTTTCATTGGTTGCCTACCCAGCACTCATTGCCTGTCTGATTTTGCTTTGGAAAACCACCCCACCTAGCACAGCCACGTGGTCCCAATGGGACTGACCCTGCCTCCAGCTCCAAAATAGCTAAACTCATGGCTCTTGCTACATCAGATGGGTAGGCCTAAGCCACTCAATGTGTGGTTTTCCCTTGCCCACTGCGATTAGTTCCAGATGTTTGGGTCAGAGTAAAGCTACGGACTTAATGTTTAAAGGTTTATTCTCTTTGAAATGAGCAAGGAAATCTATAACCTCAAGGGCTCGCTTTCATCTACCTCATAGCCATGAGGGAGGGCAGACTTAGGGGAAAACGGACACATGGAGGGGGCAGAGCTGAGAGAATTAGAGGAAGGGAAACAGTGCCCTGATCAAACCATATCTGAACTGTCTTACCACTGGATTTTTTTTCAGCTATATGAGCCGATAATTTCCTGTATCACTTTGAGACAAACCTTCTTACTAGAAAAGCATTTAATCAATACAGCTTAAGACATACATAAAAGATAGGAAGTGACAAATGCCATAAAAGAAAATGAACATAAAATACCATTCAGAGGAAGAATACTTGAAATGAGAGGATTAATAAAGGCTCTATGGAGGTGACATGAGCTGAGCTTTATTTAACTGTAATAGTAACAGATACCAGTTATTGGTGTCTTATATGTAGGCCCTGGGCTAGCGTTTTTCATGTCCTGGCTTGTTTAATCCTCAAAACAACCCTACAAGGTGGTTACTTCTTATGAAATGAAACTAACATTTGCTCTTTCTTCCAGAATAAAGCACCCCGATTCTCAGCTGAGCACATGGCCACCTGCAATAAAGATTTCATTTCCTAGCCTCTCCTGAAGTATAGCCACAAGACTAAATTCTGGCCATGGAGATTAAGCAGAACCATGTGGACTTTCAGGACGTTTTCTTCAAGTTAGGGGCAAGCCTTTTCTTATGCCTTCCTACTTTCTGCTGGCTAGAATGCAAAGATCATGGCAGAAGGCGAAGCAACCATTCTAGTGAGGAAGCCACACACTGAGGATGGCAGACAGCAAAGAAAGAGAGCCCGGGTCCCCTGACCATGTTGAGAAATATCCCTGCCTGTCCTGGTCTGTCTACCTTGACTCCTTTTGACAGAGAAAACCTCTATCTTGCCAGAGGGTACATTTTGCATTTTCTTTCACACACAGTTGAATCAAATACACTATCTCCATCTGCAGAGATGAGGGGGGAAGCTTACCCAAAGTTATAGCCAGTGCGAGCCAGGATTCAAATGCACTTCTGATTCCTCAAGTCCAGGTTCCAACTCTCACCTAGATTGCCTTGAGAAATACATAGGACTTGTACAGAAGTGGGTAGGCCTGGCATTCCTCTTACAGACAACTCAGGATTTGCTAAGGTGGCCAGGATTTCTAATTTAAAAGAATGATTCTGTCCTTGTATTTTATTCCTGAATTTGCTTAGTCCCCCTCCAATTCCCACATTCTCCCTCTGGAATCAATAACCAACTCTGCTTCCCCTGAGGCTATTGAGAAGACAGTGATTTGGCTCTTTGTTGTCTAAGGTGAACTGGAACCACCACCCCATCAGCTCTCCTCCATCTAGGAAAGTTATATAGGTCAGGAGACAGCAACTGCTTAGGCTGGCACTTGGCATCAATCTGAACTTTGATGCTGTGAATCAGGCAAAGAAATGAGATATCAGGGGGAATGGGGAAGGGCAGGTCGGTAATTCTGAAAAACTCCTCACCTCCTCTGGAGCAAAGTCCCAAGAGTGCCTTTTTGCTTTAGATATTATGAATTACTACAATATAGTTCAAAGGGTGCTCCTTTAGAAGACTAAGAGATGCATGTGTAAAGTTACCATGTATATGTACGAATTACAACACAGACTGCCCAAATGTACAGCCAAGTCCTCTGACCACTTACTGAACTGAATGACACGGGTGATTACTGGGGAATATGGGAAAACTGTCTATATACAAAGTCAAGGGACAAATTAAAACGATAACTGACCATGAACTCCATCTCTTCAAAGCTAGTCTGCCTGCTTTCAAGGAAACTTAGGTTGAGTTCAGTGCTGAAAAAGGCGCTAAAGGATTAGGTTAGTCTGCTGAATCTGCTCTGGAATCCCTTATGCACGGGATCAGAACAAATCCCTGTGTGCCAATGAGAGTAAAAACTCAGATCCTTCAGCTGACAAGAAAGGAAACAGTACTTCAGAGCCTCCTGGTCTCTGAGGTTGGAAAGCTCAGATGCTCACTACCTTGAGGCACACATTTGCATGCACGCATGCACACGTGCACACTCTGGGGGGCCTAAGACAAGTTTATACAATCTCAATAGTCTAGAACTGCACGGTCCAAATATGGATGGCCTCTAGTCACATGTGGCTACTGAGCACTTGAATGTGGTCAGTCCCAATGGAGATTGGCTCTAAGTGTAAAATACACTTCGTATTATACAAAGTGTTTATACCAAAAGAAGTGTAAAATATCTCAATCATTTTTTTATATTGATTATATGTTGAAATGGTACTTTTTTGGATATATTGGGTTGAAACAAATGTATCACTAAAATAAATTTCACCTGTTTCTTTTTACTTTTATTATGTGGTGTTATTTTATTTTTTTTTTTTTCAGATTTTATTTTTCCTTTTTCTCCCCAAAGCCCCCGGGTACATAGCTGTGTATTTTTAGTTGTGAATCCTTCCAGCTGTGGCATATGGGACGCCACCCCAGCATGGCCTGACGAGTGGTGCCATGTCCGTGCCCAGGATTCGAACCAGCAAAACGCTGGGCTGCCAAAGCAGAGCGCGCAAACTCAACCACTTGGCCACCGGGCTGGCCCCTATTATGCAGTTTTCTAAAATTTCTTAGAAAATTTTGAATTACATGTGTAGCTCACATAATATTTCTACTGGACTAGAAAAAACGGATAGTGCTGGCCTAGAAACTTCCATTTAGAAAAAATCCCATTTAAATCCTTTGGAAGGAAAATGTTGTGTTAGATAATAGCAAAAACTCCAAGAAAATCCTCTTCTTTCAGCACATTTATGATGTACAGTATTCATTTAATTGCCAATTTGCCAGATGACTCCATGTTCCAACAGGGTCAGGGCAAGCCTCCACTCCCACAGCAGTCTTCATAGTGCCTCTCACACCCTCTCTATAACCTCTCTCCACCCAACTCCCAAGCTTCCAGTCCTCATGGCCTGCCTCCCACACCTCAACTGGCCCACCCAACACTCTGTTTCTGGCACCTTCTTCTTCCCTCTGCTCTCCCTACTCATTCTCCCTGGGGGACATCCTTTACTCTCACGACTCATTTATGTGTCTTCACATAATTTCAGATGATTCAGAACTCCCATTTTTCAGCCCCTACATCTGAAGTAGAATGTCAGACATTCTACTTTAAATCCAACCCAAAGAGAAGAATGGACTTTTAAAGAATAAAGGAAAGGACAGCCTGTGGCTCAAACAATCGCCTGCCAAATTCCTAGGATGGTTGGTGTGTACTGGGATGGAGGGGTCAGGACCACACTTTGTGTGGTCTGTTTATTTACAAAAACTGTGAAGATAAAAACTGAGTAATCTGGGTTTTATTTCTTTTTATTTTCCATGTCTTCTCTTTAAAAAGGATAATAAATAATGAAATGTCCCAAAAGAGGGGCATATGAAAAGAGAAGGCCCAAAATAACACAAAATTAGGCAAATTTGGTCATAAGGAAAGAACAGAGGTTCTTAATCTGGGGCACATGGATGCAGGTCTGAATCCCTGAATCTCTGAAAATATGGGTGATGTTCTGAGGGTGTGTGCATACACAACAATTTTGAGAAAAGGGTCTATAGCTTTCATCAGATTTTAAAGGATCTGTGACTCAAGTACTATTGCTGTGACACTTAAAAATGAAACTTGGTTAAATTATGAAGTGAAGAAAGGTTGTCTTTTTAGATGATAAATATTTTAAGACACCAACGATTATATGCTTGCAGTCATTAAGTCCATTACAGTGCACATCTGTTAACTTTGTATATCTTCACAGTGTGATCTTCACCACAACTTGCAAAGTGTAACCATTCAATGTCTTCCGCTTCATTCTGTTCAGTTTTTCCATTACTGTTCTTCCAACATAATTTTTTGATAGCAAGTGTGTGACTTTGGCTAAAACAAAGAGAGAGAAATCATGAAATGAATGTATACTATGACTAAAAATATTTTACCGGGTGCTCAACTACATGTTAGTTTAATCAGCATTGTCATGTGCCACGTAATGATGCTTTGGTTAACAACAGACCACATATACAATGTTGGTCCCATAAGATTCATACCATACAGCCTAGGTATGGAGTAGGCTATACCATCTAGATGTGTGTAATTACTGTAATGGAGGAAGAAATTTCCTTCACTCTTCTAGGTTCTTCTGGCTAGTCTAAGAATAAATTGACGTGAGACAGATTAACAGGAGAAAAACAAAAGTTTAACAACATGTATCTGTGGGAGAAACCCAGGAAAAACTAGTATCTCACCAAAATGGCCAAAGCCTTCACCTTAAATACCATCCTCAGCTAAAGACAAAAGAAGACGATGGGGGTGGGAGAGTCTGGAACTTCAAAGGGAAGGAAGGCAGTTCACACGTAGGTGCAACACTTGGAAAACAAGCATTTGTTTGTCCATAGAGAAACAGAAGAACACAAAGGGGAGACCAACAAACAGGCTTTTCCAGGTTCCTCCCTGTCTAGCACCTAGTTCATGTTATGCTAAGGTGGCAGCTCACTTCCTGAGACAGGTTTTTTTAATCTGAATTCTTTTAGGTAGTTAAGGGGGAGATAAGAAAAACCTTAAGTCTTTTGTTTCTTAAAAATAACTTGCCTAAAATAATTCTCATGTTAAAGAGACACATTTTGGAGTGGCAGATTTTGTTCCACTTCAGTGCACTCTATGATGTTTGTACAATGACGAAATCACCTAATGACACATTTCTCGGAACTTATCCCCATCGTTAAGTGATGCGTGCCTGCATGCTCAGAAACTATTAATTTATTAACCTAAATAGAAGTCAAACATAAAAATCAAAAGGTACAGGTTTCTAAATGCCCTTACTAGTATTTAAGAATTTTATTTTAACCTGGAAAAAATCTTTATTTATTTAACACTGTCAGACTAAATTATCTTACTTACTGACCAAGGACAGCACCAAAAAGAGTAAGAAATAGTGAATTTCTGTCAAATTCTGTTTTAATGATCAGTGGAATTCATGAAATGGCTATTAAAATCAGTCTTTGAGATAACATTACTAATTGTGTTTCTTTTTAAGAATTCCAACTTTGCAACATATTCCAGAATATTTTATTCTTTTGAAAATATCTCTGTGACACAGATGGACTCTTACTCACATTTTTACTGCTGGGTAAGGAAAGACAAGTGAAAGAACTCGGGTCTCCAATGTGACCTCTAACTGCATGACCCTGAGCAAAAGGCTCATATTAATGCCCTCCCTCTCCCCCATGGCAGAGCTAGAATGCTACCAAACAGATTATTAATCAATCTCTATGAAAATATCCTATATAAATTTAACCTGCCAATTAGACCTCCTAACTAAAAATGAATAAAGTAAAAAACTTAAATAGGTTTTAAGGCAGTAAACACTGAAAACAATACCAGAGCACACAAATTATACTTTCAGGTGCTGAGAGTCCCTCTCGCCAGATGCACTCTCAGGAGCAAAGGGCAGGAATGAAATATAACCCTGAAGTAATGAAACACATCTGAAAGAGCAGCACACCAGAACCTATGCAGCCAAATCACCGTGAGTCCCTGCAAGTGGCCACTCTGGGACGTGAACACATTTCAAAGATGCTGCTGTGCCTCAATGTTTCCTGAAATCCTTCTAAAGGAAATGCTTCCACTTTATGCAGACTATGACTTGAGTACTGTCAACGATAGCTCCCCTTCCTCTGAAAATGAATTCCATTATTGAAAGCAGTCAAGAGTCATTTGGAGATGAGTTTTATAAATAAAATGAATGCCAGGCTTAAAAAAAAAGCGACCAAATGAGTCAAAGTATAAATGGTGTTGTAATTGGTTTTCTTGCATAACTAGCAAGTTAGTTCTGAACGCAACTGCTAAAGATAAATTTAAAAAATATTTCAAGTAACAACAACATCACTGGAATCTCATTTTTATTGATCAATATTAAAGTTCTCTCATTTTATTAAAAGAATGATTTGAAGTAGTGCTATCACTGAAACAAGCATATATATAGTATATTGCTTTCCAAGGGAGTTACTTTGAGGGACAGTACTTATTTGTCTATCTAAGCTTTGAGATGGTATGTTTCTTTTTTTTGGTAATGTCCTTTAAATCTAGCAATTAACAGGTCACATTAAGAAGATATGGAGTTTGGGGAGCCAGCCTTAAAGGCAGTGTTCGCTTATAGTACCTTTGTATCTCATTACTAGAAAAAACGTTCATTTGAAAGGTACTTGAAATTTGGTAACTGGAATATTACAGTAACAATCCAAATAATATGTGTTAAGTCAGGAATTAGTTCCTGCAAATCCAAAGTCATCATAATGACTAAAAAAAGCCTTAAAATGAAAAACTCAAACTGTGTACATGTCTCCTGCCCATGCTTTCTAAGGGGCTTCCCGCCAGTGTCCCACATTTGGGCCACGGAAGCGGTCTGTACCAGGCAGAGGCAGAGCAGGCTCTGTGGGCTTGAGAAGGGAGGGGAGCCCAGGAAGAGAGAAAATTTCAAATGCCTAGAATACGGAATTTCATCAGAGTACTTCACTCTTTAGTAAGTCAACAGTATGAACTATTTCAACTGCTAAACGCAGCATCAGAGAGGTAGGAGAGAAGTCATGAGGGCAGCAGTAACAAAGGTAGATCTTGTTTTAACAAATACCGTTATAATGAGCACTGACATGCTTTGCTGACAAGGAGACAAGCTCCCCTGGATGAAATACCTTGGACAATACATGTGCTCACAAGTCTCTCTCCCTCAAGCCAATCATTCTCTTCATGATAATGTCTGGAATTGTATTTGAAATTCTATTTTGAACAGTATGGATAGATGAAGGTTGAAGAATTCTAAGAAAATCTGACAGAATGATGCTAGTGACTTTTTGAAAATTTAGCCATTTTTAAAGAATAACATGGGTTAAAAATTAGATTACAAACTGATCCCTACTGTCTGGGTGGGCAGGGTGAGGACGAGATTGTAGTGGCAGGTGCTCTAAGCCAGCTCCGGTGGCAGACGTTCGTGCCAGGGCCTAAGGCCCAGGAGTGCTTACTGTGCTCGAAAGCAGCCATGTGGCTTGAGGGGCCTTCAACTGTTTGCTCCATTACAGGATAGGGGCTGAAATGTTCAAACACGAGATGCAACTACCAAAACACATTTTATAATATTCCAAAAGATTAAGAATCTACTGTAGTCATTATGAAAATCACTTTCATCTCAAATCTGTTGTCTGTAAAGACAGTATTATGCAAACGAGCAATCAGGTCAAGCAAACTTTTAAAAACTAAGTTCAATATAGTAACGAACATCAATGTCAACAGACTACCACAGAACACAGAGGTACTTAGTGGCAAGCACTATAGAGATGTGTGTCCCTCTCCATGCAAACGTGGCATAAAATTTGCAGCTAAAGACTCTGTGCTTTCTATCTAATGTGATGGAAGCAAAAATAGGAAGAAAATACCTTTGACTTGTTTCTACGCAGTGAGTCCAGTCATTGATTTCTGGAACTTGGTCAGTCTTTCTCCAGGTGTATAAACAAATCTTTCCACATTCTAATCCTACCGCAACAACATATCTGTTTTTAAGAGAGGGGGGAAAGCAGTGATTAATTTAGCACGGATTTCTGTTATCTCCATCATCACTCTAAAGTAGTTCCTCAGTGTTCCCAACTGTCCCTGGCTTACAAAGGACTCTGTTTAAAAGTGCCAGCCCAGGACACGGGGCACTGCTCTCCTGTGCCCTCAAGGAGTCTCCTCTCTCCATCGAGGATACACACAGATTTACCTCTGTCCTCTGCTGACAAAGCCCACAAGCCAGTGTTTCCCTGGCTGCCTGTAGGGGCCCTCATTCTACTGAAGACACTAGTTACAGAGAAAGTACTACAGTCCTGAATTTGGTGAAATAAGAACCTTTGAGCCACACTCCCAATCTCTATCTCACCACTCTGAATATCACCAAGTTCTATCAGTTTAAAAATTATGAGAAACATACACATTATGAAAAAAATAGTAACTCAGAAGCTAAGAGAATCCATGAATGAAAGTATAAGAGGGCTACATCTTAAGAAATTAAGTGGTCTTCTTAAAGAAAACATGAAGCAAAGCCCCACAGAAACTGACCGTTGGGAAAGGTTAAGCACTGGGCAGATGCTGACAGCTGTCACAGCTCCACCCACATCCAGGACAGAGGAGCAGGGGCCGATGCTGTGCTCCATGGAGTCATCGCTGGAGTCACACTCACCCCAGACAACCACCTAACACAGAGAGATCAAACCCTGTAAAGCTTTCTCCTTGCAAGGGTTCTAGCAACACATTAGAATCTCAATGGTACAGATAATGCTCTGGCATTTTAAAAGATGCATCATTTACATTTGTGTTCCAGGACTTCAGAACATTTCAAGCATCACAGAGAAGTCACGGTGTAGCAGACACAAGTCTCTGAGACCTTAACTACCTAAGTGCGTTGGTCCCAAAAAGGACTGTCCCTGCCCAGAGATCAGGGGGCACCTAGCATGCTCTTTACACTCAGGAAACCAGTTCTGATGGAGATTCTATCAATCATGTCCTCACTGAGGAGCTCATGTACCTCCCCAAATTACCACAAAGTGAATGGGGACCATCAAGTCCCTGGCTCTACCTCTACACCACCCACTGCTCAGGGAATCAGCTCAGCTGTCGGGAGGACCTAACCTTGATGATACCCCACATAAGACTGAGGCTTTCCTGGAAGTTCATGCCTCAAGGGGGTATGATTGGTCACAAAGAAATAGAGAGGGCAGTGAAGTAGGTAACAGTTACAAAAGGCAGGACGAAAGCATGATTCCAAGAAAAAGGCTCTGTCCAAGCAAGCAGATTGTGTTTCTGAGAATGTGCAGTGGATGATGCTTTGTCTGTTTCAGCCTGACGTATCCCTGAGAGCTGCAGGTGGACCATCCACTACTGGGCATGACTGTGGAGGGCAGAAGCAGTCCTGTTTCCTCAGCAGCTAGCAGAGCATAGGCAAACAAATGCCAGGAAGAAATGAACAGGCAAGTGAACAGAAGTGATGGTTCGAGGGAAGGGGTTTTCGGGGTTGACGTTTCAGTGTTTCACTGAGTGACAACATGCCGGAACTAGCTTTCCGCTTTGGTAATTTGCAGCATGACCACGACTGAGAGGGCAGGAAGAAGAAAGGAAACACTCAACTGCCTCCCTACCTCTGGACACAGGAACTGCAGAAAAAGGGAAGGACATTTTAAAGAGTATGAACACAGAGGAAAGACCAGAAGCCAGGGGAGCATTTCCCAGAGAACAGAGCAAGTGTCACGGTCAAGAATCTACTGCTAGTTAACTTGTTTTGATTTTTTCAAAGCTTGGGACATTCACATAACATTGCTTCCTCTATTGATTAAAAAAGCAATAATCATTCATTTCAGAAAAAAATTTTAATTCATAAAAGTATGATAAATAAAAGTAGAAACTGTTTTTCCCCTTATGCTCCTCCATCCCCTCCTACTCTCCTGGTCTGTTACACTTGACCCACTTCATTTACCACTTTTCTCCCACTGGGGCCATCTGATGAAGGTTGTATCTGAAAGGTCTTCTTTTCATAATTAATATTTCAGAGAAATGTATGTATAGAATTTAACAAGTAAGAAAAACCTTTTTTATGTATGCATATGAAAAACACAGAAGGGAAGACACAAATTGATTTTAAAAGCTGTATCAGGGGGCTGGCCCCGTGGCCGAGTGGTTAAGTTCGTGCGCTCCGCTGCAGGCGGCCCAGTGTTTCGTTGGTTCGAATCCTGGGCGCGGACATGGCACTGCTCATCAGACCACGCTGAGGCAGCGTCCCACATGCCACAACTAGAAGAACCCACAACGAAGAATATACAACTATGTACCGGGGGGCTTTGGGGAGAAAAAGGAAATAATAAAATCTTAAAAAAAAAAAAAAAAAAAAGCTGTATCAGAAAGTCAGGATTATATGTTTTCTATCCAAACATATCTGTAATATTATTTTACATTTGAAAAAAATATTAAATTTAAAAAATTACCTTTTTGTCCCGACTCCCAGTGAAGAAATACTTGCCATCAGGACTCCAATCACAAGACCAAATGATTCGACTGTGCACAGCAGTGACTTTGTTGGTGAAGGCAAAGAGACTGAAAACTGCGTCTGAAAGAAGCACAGATGCACTACTCACAAAGCAGAGAAAGCTGTTTTCACCTGTTAGAAAGTGCCCCATACAACATGTAATTCAGTAATCAACTTATGTATGCTGACTTCTGCAACAGACCAAGGCCAGACAGCTGACAAGGCTATGGGTATGCAGTTATTTTTCTAGTAGGGAATGCTCTCCAGTGACTGACGACAAACATCTTCCAGACACTTAACTAAAGGTTGAATTTACGCCTATGGAAGAAGCTTGAAGCAATTTAACCTTATTCAGGAAGTAGCCAGATTTGCATATTAAGCTATGGGAAAAAAGTACCTTTAATGTACCTTTAAATAACATTAAAAGAAAAAACTTTAAAAAATTTTTTCCTTTGTAGGATTTAAATGTTAGGTAACTTCTAGCCCTTATATGGACTAAACTTAAAACATAACTGCTTATGATGAGAGAAGAGGAATGTATCTATTAATCCATAATCAATAAAGATACAACAAATTAATTGACATACTATTAGTATCACTTTAACTTTTCAAAAAGTAAGTTGCATGTTAGGAAATCTCTAGTTGTAAAAGAAATCAGTCTGTTCTAACACACACCGCTCAGTATGTCATAGTCCCTGGTACTCTCTAAAATGCAACAACCTAAGGAGCTAGAAATATCACAAGATCAAATTGCATGCAGGTTATATCAACTGAAAAATTAAAACAGGATTAAACAACACAAAGATACTTTAAACACTCTCTAGATTTTACCCATTCAAAGAAACTGGGGCAATAGGAATAGGCCATTGCTGCAACAACACAAAGCTTTTGTTCCTTTTCTTTTTTTTTTTTCCTGATTTCTCTCCCCAAATCCCCTCAGTACATAGGTGTATATCTCAGTTGTGGGTCCTTCTAGTTGTGGCATGTGGGATGCCACCTCAACATGGCCTAACGAGCAGTGCCCTGTCTGTGCCCAGGATCCTAACTGGCGAAACCCTGGGCTGCCAAAGCGGAGCGTGTGAACTTAAGCACTTGGCCACTGGGCCAGCCCTCCTTTCCCAATTTCAAAGCGACAAGTGGGTAAGAAAGACAATGGTCCTTTTAAGTTTCATGATTTAATTGTATATTCATTATTCCTGTCTCATAAAATTCTAGCTTAGAATATGCCAACCATTTGGTTTTATGGTGGCATTCTGTAACGATATGAAAAATCTAAATTTTCCATATACAGATTTTTATGTTTCTTTAACTGAGATGTCTGAACACATGCCATCCTGACTACATAATCACAAGGAGGTCACCCCAAAGACCACTTCCATTTAAATCTTACAGGGAAGGTCGAGTCTTCCTCAGTTATCACAGAACTTTGAAAGACTTCACAACCACAAGATCTGCCATTGAGCAACAGCTGCTCAATGCGGATAAAACAGACACTACTGTTTCACTAATAATTCCCAATCAGAAGTTGTTTTACCTAACTCAGGTGAGACCGTGTCCTGCCTTTTCCACAGTGACCAGGTTCGATCTCTGGAAACAGCTAGTAAGAACCTGTCGTTAGGAGAGAAGGCCATCTGCGTGACAGTCAAACTGTGGAAAACTAAATTCTGCACCTGTTTCCAAGATGTAGTGTTCCAAAGAATGATAGCTGCATGCTCTTTCTTTGCTGCCTGTAGGACAGAGATGAAACAATGAAGCAATTTAAGTAGAAATACACTGAAAAGAAAACATTTTTCAAAATAATATGTTGTTTGTATAGGTATATTTTATGTAGCTGGTAAATGCAAAAAAAAAAACATTCCGAGGTGATACACACTACAACCAGCTGTAATCTCTGGGAAGAGGAAGACTGGGATTAGAAAAGATGAATCATCAGAAACTGACACTGTAATCATAATGTTTTAATATTTTACAAGAAGAATACATTTGTGTATTAATTGTGTAATTAATAGTTTAGAGATTTTCACTTCCGGTCAATCTGGAGTAACAGAAATCAGATTCACTCTCTTGTGTGAAAAAAAACAAAAGAACAGACAAAATACATGAAATGATGGCACTCCAAAATATTAGGTATCTGGCAACAAACAACACTGATCCCTGAGAGAGAAAATAAATCACAGAGCAGAAAAAAAAGAAAAAGATAAAAACAAAAGAAAATCATTGAACTCTATGATAACTTGAAGTGGATAAATATAGGTGTAACTAGAGTCCCCAAAAGGATCAAAAGAAAAAATACTCAAAAAGATAACAGCTGAAAAAATTTTCACATTTGATGAAAACAATAAATCCATAGATTCAAGAAGTTCAATAAAACCCAAGCACAAGAAACATGAATAAAACTGTACCAGCAATAATCAAATTGTTTAAAACCAGTGATAAATATAAAATTGCAGTTGGAGGAAAAAGACCCATTACTGAGGAAGAAAGAAAAATTACAGCAGACTTCTCATCCACAACAATGCAAGTCAAATGAAACAGAGCACATCTTTAATGTACTGAAAGGAAAACCAATGATTCTTTACCCACTATAAACAGTGTTCAAAAATGAAAGAGAAACAGGTTTTTTTCAGACAGGCAAAAGCTGACAAACTTCATGGCCAGCAGAACTGAATTACAAGAAATGTTAAAGAATATCCTTTAAGCAGAAGAAAAATGATATCTGATAGAAATTTTTTTTAATTATTTAAATCTTTTAAAAAGATAACTGATGGCTTGAAGCAAAAATAATAATATATTGTGGGACCTCTATGAAGAAGTAAAATACACAACAATATCACAAAGGAGGGAGAAATGAATGTATACTACTATAAAGAAATAATGCAGTATTATATGAAGGTAGATGGTGGTAACTGAAAGATGTATACTATAAAATGTAAAGCAATTAATAAAACAACACAGAGTTATATCTACTAACCAAACAGAAGAAATAAAACGGAATCATAAAAAGTAATCAAGTAATACAAAAGAAATAAAATGGAACAAAGAACAGACAGATCAAATAGAAAACAAATAGCAAAATGACAAATTTAAATCCAACTATATCAATTACTACATTAAATGCAAATGGTATAATAAATGCCTCTATTAAATAAAAGATTAACAGGATGACTCAACTACAGTTGTGCCCCGTTATCTACAGGGGATACGTTCCAAGACCCCCAGTGGATGCCTGATATTGCAGATAATTCTGAACCTTATATATACTATGCTTTTTCCTAAACATATATACCTATAATAAATTTTAACTTATAAATTAGGCACAGTAAAAGATTAATACCAATAACTTCTCTTTAATATATCCAAATTGCCAGCATCAGTACCCTTGCACTTTGGGGCCCTCATGAAGTAAAATAAGGGGTACTTGAACACAAGCACTGCAATACCGTGACAGTACCCATCTCGGTTATCAGATCAACTAAGTGACTAACGGGTGGGTAGTATATACAGCATGGATACTGCGAACAGAGATGATTCACGGCCAGGTGTAATGCAGGAGGACTGCGCAAGATTTCATCACGCTACAGAGAACATGCAATTTAAAACTTATGAACTGTTTATTTTTGGAATTTTCCATTTAATATTTCAGACTGCGGTTGACCGCAGGTAACTAAAACTGCAGAAAGCAAAACTGTAGCTAAGAGGAGACTACTGTACATGCTGCCTCCAAGAAACCACTTGAAATGAAAGAAAACTCAAAAGCAAAATGATGGAAAAAGATACATAATTCACGCACTACTCAAAAGAAAGCTGGAGTGGCTATCATAACATCAGACAAAGCAGATTTCAGAGCACAAATTATTACCAAAAATAAAAAGGGTCATTTGATAATGATAAACTAGTCGATTAATCAAGAGGACACAATAATCATAAATGTTTATGGATCTAACAACAGAGCTTCAAAATACATAAAGTAGAAACTGATTGAACTGCAATGATTAACAGACAAATCCAAAACTATAGACAGAGATTTCAAAATGCCACTCTTAAGAGGCGGGACCAAGATGGCGGAGTGAGTAGTCTTCTTTGTCTCTCCCCCTTCGAATCTACAACTAATTGGACATTCACAGGTTAACAAAGGATATCCAGATAGCTTCTCAAGATGCCTGAGAGACCCGTGCTGCTATACATCAGAAGGCGGACGGACTTCCCCCCTGGAGGAGGTGGAAATAGGTGAAAACTCTCCGATCCCTGACCCCCGGACAGCCTAGTACCTGCAAGAGGCTCTCTTCCAGCGGACTCCCCCATAGCATCGCCACGCACCAAGGGCAGGAGTATGCACTCACCAGCGGAGCGATGGTGGAAACAGGTGACTACAGCCCTACCTAAGCCCCCCACGATTACACCTAAGTCCAGGCGGAAACTCCAGGGTCCCGCACCCGCCGGCAGGGAAAGCCTCTGCTTGCCATTAGCAGAGAGGCGCCGCGCAGCATTCAGAACACCGGGAAGCTCCCAAAGAGCGGATTCCCCGGCAGGGCACCAGCCCGCCAGCCGCTGCCGGGTCCACGGACTCTGGCTGTGCATGGAATGGTACAAGAGGTGCCCAGGGTTCCTGTGGATGTGCTTGGGGGCTGGGTGGAGCTCCAGCGTCTGGCTCCGCGGCCCAGGGGGAAAATCCAGGGTCCTGCACCCGCCGGCAGGGAAAGCCTCTGCTCGCCATTAGCAGGGAGGCCCCACACAGCATTCAGAACACCAGGAAGCTCCCAGGGAGTGGATTCCCTGGCAGGGCACCAGCCCACCCGCTGCTGCCGGGCCCACGGACTTCGGCTGTGCACGGGACAGTGCAAGAGGTGCCCAGAGTTCCCGTGGATGTGCTTGGGGGCTGGGTGGAGCTCCAGCGTCTGGCTCCGTGGCCCAGGGGGAAACTCCAGGGTCCCGCACCCGCTGGCAGGGAAGGCCTCTGCTTGCCATTAGCAGAGAGGCGCTGCCCAGCATTCAGAACACTGGGAAGCTCCCAAAAAGCAGAATCCCCAGCAGGGAACCAGCCCACCAGCCACTGCCAGGCCCACGGACTCTGGCTGTGCATGGGACGGTGCAAGAGGAGCCCAGAGTTCCCGTGGGCGTGCTTGGGGGCTGGGTGGAGCGCCAGCGCCCGGCTCCGCAGCCCAGGGGGAAACTCCAGGGTCCCACACCGCCGGCAAGGAAAGCCTCTGCTCGCCATTAGCAGAGAGGCCCTGCCCAGCATTCAGAACACCGGGAAGCTCCCAAAGAGCAGAATTCCCCGCAAGGCAGCAACCTGCCAGCTGCCGCCAGGCCCACGGACTCTGGCCATGTCCCAGAGGGGGCAAGGGGCTCCCAGAGATTCTGTGGGAGTTGTTTGGGGCTGGGTGGAGCTCCAGTGGAACAGCTACGTGGCCCAGGGGGGAACTCCAGGTTCCCACAGCAGCCTCAGCAAAGGCCTCTGCACAGCACTAGTGCAGAGGTCCCAACCGGCAATCACAAGGCTGGAAGATCCTGGGGCAAAAGCAGTACAGCTAGGCGAGCTAACGACAGACTGCAGAAGATACCCATAGCTCTGCTGGGACCTATAGTGGACAAGTGCGATCTTGTCGGCTCTGACAGTGACAGAGCTGCGATTATAGGTGATCCTGCTCCTGGCTGCTGGGAAAGCCCATAACACGGCTGCAGACCCCAAGGAGGGAGCGTGTCTAAGTGGTCTGCAACAGTAGGCACCAGCAGCCTGACAACCCCTTGCAATTGCCACCACAACCAATGAGGGACCCCACAGGACCACTGTGACTACGAGGAGGGGCCCAGATCCAGTCAGTAACAGCTGACAGGGTTCCTGGTTGGTGCAGTCTAAACAGCTGCTCCCCCCCACACCAGTTGCAACAAGTGGAAGCAGTGACTAAACTCTATCTCTATGCAGAGGCACAAATCCATGCCATAAAGCAGTATGAAAAAATATATTAAGTCTCCAGAACAGAAGGAAAATGATAAGTACCCAGAAAACAATCCCAAAGACAATGAAATCTATAACCTAAATGACAATGATTTCAAAACAGCCATTATTAAAAAACTCAACGAGTTAAAAGAGAATTCAGATGGACAAATCAACGAGTTTAGGAGCTATGTCACAAAAGAGCTTGATACTATAAATAAGAACCAATTAGAAATACTGGAGATGAAGAACACAATGGAGGAGATTAAGAAAAAATCTGGACTCTCTGAACAGTAGGGTCGATAATATGGAAGACAGAATTAGCAATTTGGAGGATAGGAATATAGAAATGCTGCAGACAGAGGAGGAGAGACAACTAAGACTAAAAAGAAATGAAGAAACTCTCCGAGAATTATCCAACTCAATTAGGAGATGCAACATAAGGATTATAGGTATCCCAGAGGGAGAAGAGAAGGAGAAGGGGGCAGAAGGCCTGTTAAAAGAAATAATAGCAAAATGCCACTCTCAATAAAACCAAAAGGATAAAGATGGCTTGAACAATACTATCAACCAATCTGATGTAAGTCATATTTTCAGAACACTCCACCCAACAGAAACAAAATCCACATTCTTTTCAAGTGAACATGGAAATTTACCACAATTAAATGTCAAAGGATTCAAGTTATCCTATGTTCTCTGATCACAACAAAAATAAATTAGAAATCAGTAACAGACAGATATATTGAAAGCACAGAGTATATGGAGACTAAATAATAATACCTTTCAAAATAA